TACAGCATGGTGATAATACCTCTGCTGAGATAGCCTCCCTGTTCTTAAAGGCTTTTTTTTCTATAACAGGATTTATAACTTTTGAAGCTAGAAAAAAAAACTATTCATTGTATTTTGTATACACCACTTTCTTCAAAAATGCTTGCCAAGTTTTTATCCCGTTGACTAAAAAATATCACTAGTTGCTGGTATACCTGGATTACACAAGATGTTTTCATGACATAGCCTTGTGAGGCAATATCCATAAAGTCCTTACTATCAGCAGACTTATGGTATAAAACTGTTTGATGTTACTGAGCTGCAGTATTATTGCAAGATTCCTTATGATGTTAACACTGGTAAAAATGTCATAGTTTCACTTCAGTTACTACATACATCATCAGAATCAAGGATGGGAATGAAAATGTTACTCCCTCATTTCCTTTACAAATGGGGGAGTATCAACGATGCACTATTTCTTGCTCCGTTTTTCATGGCACTTGAGCTGTTAGAGCAAGAAAGGTTTGATGGCCAGAACAGTGGGAGATAGTGTATATCTAATTTCTGTATGACCATGAAATTCTTCTGTCACTGGCATTTCCACATCAGTCATTATGTGCAGCTCTAGCAGTTAATAATGTACTTCAAGCCTTCTTAGTGTTAAAGATTAATTGGTACAAATGACTCATGATCCCTCTAGAAAAAAAACATTCAATAGACGGGATTGTGTTCAGCTGACCTGCACGGACCAACTTAAATATCTTAGACTTTATACAGATTGGGACTTTGTAAATAAATTCTAATTGCATATTGTATTATGCATATTGACGCCTGTACAATGTTACAGGTTGACTCTTGGTCCTTTAGCCCAGTGTTTCTCAACCTTTCTTCATTCAAGGCACCCTTTTAAATCATGGACAGTCCTGAGGCACCCTTTAAAATTATGGACAGTCTTGAGGTACCCCATTCTAAAATGTGAAAAATGATTCTAATAGTTGTATATAACATAGCAACATCCACACATGTAGGACACCCAACATTAGAGGTGATTTATTCTTCCAAAGCAAATACACTTTTGCACATTGGTACTGAGTAGTATTCCAGTGTTTCCCTTCTCCCTTTTAGCTATCACTGAGCTAATGTGACCCCAGCACTGAATGAAAGGGGCAGGGGAGGGTCAAACTAGGTGCTGTGCAGGCAGATGACATTCTCCTTATCAACTGATGATGTCATTGGTTGTCAGGACACTGGCGGCTAGAAGGTCCTAAAGGTGCACAATGAAAACCTGTGGCTTTGTGTATCTAAAAGGCAGGGTTGTTTCACCCGCTGGCTTGTATACAAGTTTTGAGCAATTTCTAGACATTTTGCCAAGGCACCCCTAAAGAGACCTCAAGGCACCCAAGGGTGCCTGGGCACCCTGGTTGAGAAAGGCTGCTTTAGCCCATAAGAAAGCAGACTATGCTCCTGCAAAAAGCAATATACACAGAATTAAGCATCTAACAATGTCTAGTATAAATTGATGTACAGGGAGATTTGACATATTCACATTATAAATGAGGTTGGTCCATTTTATTTTCTCATTTTGGATAAAAAATATTATGCATTTTTGAGATTTTTCACAACCTTATCCACAAAAAATTGTTTTTGCTTGTATCCACAGTCGTCAACTTGCTTGACATAGGGGGGCATAGAATGTGGTCTTGACATCACCACACATAATATTCAGTGAATGTAATGCTACAGAAAGTTGGCAAAGACTGCAAACACACAAGGAGATGGCCCAAAACTACAGGCATACTACAGAGACTGCAGCCATGCTGCAGGAGATATCAAACTGGCCATAGACTGATCAAAATTCATCCAGTTTAGCAGCAACCAGACAACTCCTGGTCAATGTGTACCCAACAGTAGTGATCATTTGACATTCTGGAAAACTTTTGCTGATCAGTGGTGGCAACCACTAATCAGTGTATTCTGACAGTGGCGGATCTCGCTTTCAGAATACAATGTCCTGGTGGGGTAGTCCTCCATCTACCCACTGACTGAACAAAAAAAACTCCCCATCTACAGATGATGTGAGAGCTGTTGTAGACTGAGGACATGCTTTGGGAGGCAGTCATAGACTGGAGACAAGTTAGACGAGAGATCATATAGGGATATGGTAGAGATCACAGTTATTCCAAAACAATGTGTCCACAATTGTGTTTCTTACAGCTTCCTTAAAGATTACTTGTGATACATTTCATATTTAGTTTAGCAAGTTTAAAAATATTGTAAAAGATCAGAGGAAAATCCCATAAAATACTGGAAGGGATGGATAGTACAAAAAAAAAACAGTATACAAGAAATAAGCCAAACATTTAAAACTACGAGGCAGTCTAAAGAATACTTTTTATTTTTCAGCTTCAGTAAGCACCAGAGCATAGACTACCATCTTCAAAGTGCTGCATATGGCCCAGGGGCTTCAGGTTAGGCAACAGGGGTTCATATGGTTGTGCTTTAATTTAGTACATACCTAACCCTTGTTTCCCTTTATTTGTTAACAGTTATCAATTTAGTGCCTTTAAAGTGGAACTAAACACTCCTATCCTTTTCAGCCAAGGAAGCTGCCATCTAAATGATCTTCAACTGCCATGGTGCTGCACATGTTATCATTTGATGATTTGACTGTTTGGTTGAGAGCACAAGGAAATATGACAGTTAGATTCCCGGTATGTGAGAATGTAACTGGTTTTGAAACCATTAAATTGATGGGTTTAGTTCCATTTTAAAAAAAGAAAGTGTTATAGTGCACTGGCACTAAGCATATAATTTGAGTTATTAATGCAGCATTGGACATCAGAGAGAAGATTTCGCCTAAAGAGGACACAGCAGTGCAAGGGACACTTCTCACTGTAGGTTAGTAATGTCTCTTGTGTAAACTTAGGTTCTAATGCTTAAAATGGGGTATACTCATCTTCTCTCCAGCACTATGATCTGCCAGAGCTATCCACCAGCCGCTGACATCCTCAGCCCAGTGGCTTCCAAGTACAGATCCCTGGCCATTTTAATTGGCCAGGCCAAGATGACGTCACTCCCGCAAATGCAGGAGTTTGGTCATCTTGCCATTGCTGAAATTCTACACTGAGCTGTGTGTGCACAGCTTAGTGTACAGTGTGGGCAAACAGGTAAGTAACTTTAATGCAGAAGAGACATGGTATGTCTCTTCTGCATTAAGAACCCTGCCTGTCTAGAAGCTTACAGGACACCCTTCATTCATGGTAGGAACCGTCCCTGCTGGTTTTTTAAAACAAAAAAAAATCCTCTTAACTTCATCTTTAACTATAGAAATTTGTAAAAGAGCCACTAAATAGAAATCTATCAATGGCTCAGTGCAATTACTCTCTGATAACTGGCAAGATAAGTTACCAGCTACACAGGGAGTGTATGGTTTTCATCCAAGAAACTGTAAAGCTGAACTGTTATGTAGTGCTGGAAAGCAGGGGTTACAGTCTGAATATGTAGTTGAAAATTATATATACATAGAAATAGAGTTTTTAAAACAACACAGACTTTATAGGGGCCAGTCTGTGGTCATTGGGAGTGGAAATTGCCCTGGTGTCAGTGGGAGTAAACAATGCATCTTGGGTATTAGGGGGAGGAATAGTGCCCCCATCGTTGGTGTCAGTGGGAGGAATAGTGCCCCATCATTAGTGTCAGTTTGAGTGACTCATCATTGGTGTCAGTGGGAGGAATAGTGCCCTATTGTTGGTGTCAGTAGGAGAAATAGGGCCCCATCGTTGGTGTCAATGGGCCCCATTGCTGATGTCAGCAGCGGGAATTGTGCCCCATTGTTGGTGTCATTGGGAAGAATATTGTCTTGTATCAATAGGAGAAGATGTGCCTCAAGAGCTGGATAAAGACAAGCAAGTTTGGAGACCACTGATCTACGCCAAGCTATTTTCTTTTACATGTTTGTCCAAACAAAGAAAATGTAGACACGGCTAGTGCAATACCTTGGTATACTGCAGGATCCAGCAGAGGTACTAACTTCACCAATATTTATTATGTGGGCAGCACAGTGGCTAAATGGTTAGCACTTCCACCTGGCAGTAGAAGGATCGCTGGTTCAAAGACATGCTGGTAGGTTAACTGGATCCTGTCTAAATTGGCCCTAATATGTGTGTGTATGAATGTAAGTTAGGGACCTTAGATTGTACACCCCATGAGAGTTAGGGACTGATGTGAATGTACAACATATATGTAAAACACTGCGTAAATTGATAGCACCATATAAGTACCTGAAATAAATAAATGTGTCTGTGATGTTAGTAACTGCAAATGCTAGGTTGTCCTTATCAACTGGCTTAGTACCCTTTCAGGGCAATTACATTTATTTTAGTAAGCCCCCTGCCTCAGCCTCCTCTCCCAGGTCTATGCTCACCTCCTCCTGATCTGCAAAAGATCTTGGCTGTGTGGATTCCTAGGCATCACACAGCTTTCTGCCAGAATATAGGTGCTAGAGGTCCTGCCAATCATAAACATGCTACATCATCTACATACCATCTGGTGGCTGTAGGTAAAAAGCACAGACCATTCACATTAGAGGTGATGAAAAGGAAGCTAGATATTATTTTGGTATGATTCAGACCAGCTAAGAATGGCATTCAGCGGAAGAAAGGTAGCCACAAAAACAGACAAGATTTTTTTAATTCTTGTGTATCTTAACTACTGTTAAAAGCATTTGGACCCTGAAATATACAGAATTGCTAAAAGCGCAGTGGGATTTTGATTGGGAGGTTGCTGCAGGTATGTGCAGTCACCTACAGCAGTTTGCCTTCTTTTCCCAAAAGACAAATTCTCTTAATGGAGACAGTTTACATATTAGCAGGACATGCTGGATTTCTCCTTTGAACCTCTTCCAAATATAATAAGGGAGATATGTCAGGCTCAAGCAAATTAAAAGACCTGAAACAAAGCCTGAATGCAGCAATATAAAACCCAGAAATACAATCACTGAACTGTTAGATAACTATTTATACCTGGTGCCAGCAACAGCTCCATCATTCTTTCCCAGTGGTTCATCCAGTTCCACTCCGCACCATTCTCCCTTTGCAAAATCTGTCTCTCCAACATAGCGAACAACGCCCGTCTTTGTTCCACCAACCTGGAAGGCAATACACATGCATGTAAACCAGGAAAAACACAATATGGTCACTATATACACTACGCTTCATCCTGGAAGAGACAGAATCAGTTTGATGATGAATTTTTACAAGCACTTACCGTAAATATGATCACAATGGAAAATAATTAGTATACTAGAATATATCTAACCTATGTATGATTCAGTGTTACAAGACAAAACTGTATCAATGCATACAAATGGAATGTTTCATTCATTCACAGAAGTGTTCAGAACATTAATTTCCACTTTTAAGGACTACTGCGCATGGGTATATATTCATATACACTGCACAAAAAAATTAAAGGAACACTTTGAAAACACATCAGATCTCAATGGGGAAAAATATCATGCTGGATATCCATACTGATATGAACTGGGTAATGTGTTAGGAACGTAAGGATGTCCCATTGTTTGATGAAATGAAAATGATCAACTTACAGAGGACTGAATTCAAAGACCCCCTGAAAATCAAAGTAAAAAAATTATGCAGCAGGCTAGACCATTAGCTGAAATTTCATTGCAGCAACTTAAAATGGTAATCAATAGATTGTATAGCCCCCATGTGCTTGTAGGCATGCCTGACAAGGTTGGAGCATGCTCCTAATGAGACAACGGATGGTGTCCTTGGGTATTTCCTCCCAGATCTAGACCAGGGCATCACTGAGCTCCTGGACAGTTTGAGGTGCAGCCTGGCATCATCGGATGGACCAAAACATGATATCCCAGAGGTGTTCTATTGGATTTAGGTTAAACAAGTGTGGGGGCCATTCAATGGTATCAATTCCTTCATCCTCCAGGAACTGCATACTCTCGCCACATGGGGCCAGGTATTATCGTGCACAAGGAGGAACTCAGGACTCACCAGCATAGGGTCAGACAATGGGTCCAAGGATTTCACCCCGATACCTAATGGCAGTCAGGGTGCCACTGTCTAGCCTGTAGAGGTCTGTGTATCCCTCCATGGATATGCCTCTCCAGACCATCACTGACCCCCCAGCAAAACGGTCATGCTGAACGATGTTACAGACAACATAACGTTCTCCATGGCTTCTCCAGACCCTTTCACATCTGTCACATGTGCTCAGGGTGAACCTGCTCTCATCTGTGGAAAGCACAGGGTGCCAGTGGTGGACCCGCCAATTCTGGTGTTCAATGGCAAATACCAATTGAGCTCTATGGAGCTGGGCAGTGAGCACAGGGCCCACTACAGGATGTCGGGCCCTCAGGCCACCCTCATGAAGTCTGTTTTTGATTGTTTGGTCAGAGACATTCTTACCAGCAGCCTGCTGGAGGTCATTTTGTAGGGCTCTGGCAGTGCTCATCCTGCTAATGGGTAAGGACCTTCTACGGCCCTGTCCAGCTCTCCTAGAGTAACTGCCTGTCTCCTGGAATCTCCTCCATTCTCTAGAGACTGTGCTGGGAGATACAGCAAACCTTCTGGCAATGGCACGTATTGTTGTGCCATCTTGGAGGAGTTGGACTGCCTGTGCGACCTCTGTGGGGTCCAGGTATCGCCTCATGCTACCAGTAGTGACACTGACCCTAGCCAAATGCAAAACCAGTGAAAAACAGTCAGAAAAGATGAGTAGGGAAAAAAATGTCATTGGCCTCCACCTGTAAAACCATTCCTATTTTGGGGGTCATCTTATTGTTGCCCATCTAGTGCACCTGTTGTTCTTTTCATTAACACCAAAGCAGCTGAAACTGATTGATAACCCCCTCTGCTACTTAACTGACCAGATCAATATCCCAGGAGTTCAATTGACTTGATGCTATACTCTGATTAAAAAATGTTCCTTTAATTTTTTTTAGCAGTATAGAATATAGATGCTCACAGGGAGCTGTCAATGTTAATGATCATGCTGTTGCAGAATCTGCATACCTGGGTACTTGCTATGTGTAGACTGGTAATGGTGGTTTTTCACTTCACTTACTGGCCCAGCTCAGTTCTTTGGATTTCCATATATGTAAATGCTATTCATTCCGAATGACTGATAGCCAAGGCCACTAGGCCACTGCCTGGTGTTGTCCAGTGACCAAAACTGGAGAGTGCAAATTCTGGTGCAGCTGTGCGTGGTAGCCAATCAACCTCTAACTGCATTTTGTTTGGTTAAAGGATAAGTTCACCTTTTGGAACATGTTACCCATTTTAGGGTGGAACATGTAACATGTTCCTGATCCTGCAGCTGCTGCTCCTTCCTGTGGCAAAAGCACAGGGTGAAGTTTCCCCTTACTAGCTGTCAGTTTCCAAAAACAGCGTGGCCATGCGGTGCTCCACCTACATGGCTGCGTCATTCATTCACAGTGTTCTGTAAACTACTGGACTACAAGTCCCGACAGGCACAGAATGACCTTGGCCTTCAGTCATTTAATGACTGAAAGACAAGTTTATTCTAGGGGAAGATGTAAACATAAGTAAAGTTCTGCTAAGCGACACTAAGAAGTGGCAACAGCACATATGGCCACAGTTTTGTATGCATCTAAACAGAGCACTATAGTAATCAAGAAGCTCATATACACAGCTGTCTCTACATATGAAAATGTGCACTATGTTAAAGCGCAACTTCACTGCATTTGAGCACCACAAACCAAAAACACTATTTAAATAATTTTTATTATGCAAAGCAAACTCTCCCACTGATCCATGTCTCCATTCTTTATTTCGCTAAGAAATCATGTTGAAAAACACCACCTAGCATTTCTGTCCATGGCCATCTTGAGTAAAGGCAGATGATTCATGGAACATTTACTTCCTGGAATCCATCTGCCCTTAGCTCAGGCATGCAGGCAGGAGGGTGTGCTTAACTATGAAAACCCCTCCTTCCCTTCTGAAGACTCCTGGGATGTATGACATCATTTGCCTAGGCCTGAAAACCAGGGAGAAACTGAAGAAATGTAAAAAAAAACAAAGTTTAAAATAAGTAAATATTATATACTTTTCTATCTATTTACTAATGCTAACAAAATAAGGATTAAAAACCTTACAAAAATGTTTATCATCTCCTAGAATAACATTATTGAATACTTGTGGACTTCATGTGGACTTCACAGGAATATTTCTACTGAATGGATCAGTGTTCTGGTGACAAAGTACAAGTGTTTAAAAAACATTTTTTTAACCACTTTCCGTCCGGTCCTTGTATATAAACGGCCGGAGGGGAGCACTGCAGAAGTGGGTGGCCATTTATAAACATCCTCCCCGCTTCCCTGCCTGTGAGCGCTCCCTGGGAGATTGCAGCACCACGATCGCTGTACGCAACCTCTGTGTGAAATCCCGATCATGCGATCACTGACTGGCCAATCAGTGATCAGATGAATAGTAGTAAGCAATATGTCACTTCTGACAACATTGCTTACTACTAGTGAAATCTGTGAATGATCACAGAGATCACATGGTACAAGGCTATTCACAACAGTCTTGTACCATGTGACAAGCTGTGACCAATCACAGCTCACACAGTATTTCTCAATGGCTGCAAGAATGCAGCCAGAGAGAAGAAGAAATGATTGCTTTTACAGACTTTATGGGAATCAGTGATCAGATGAATAGTAGTAAGCAATATGTCACTTCTGACAACATTGCTTACTACTAGTGAAATCTGTGAATGATCACAGAGATCACATGGTACAAGGCTATTCACAACAGTCTTGTACCATGTGACAAGCTGTGACCAATCACAGCTCACACAGTATTTCTCAATGGCTGCAAGAATGCAGCCAGAGAGAAGAAGAAATTATTGCTTTTACAGACTTTATGGGAGTAAAAGCAATCAGTGTAAAAAAAAATCTTCATCACCCCCCACAAGTAGTAGAGTTTCACTATGGTGACACTCTACTGCTAGGGTGACAGTATGTTAAAAAAAAAAAAAAAAACATAAATAATAATATAAAAAATAAAATAAAAATGTCAAAATTATTTTTGAAAAATTATAATTTTTGGTTATAAACTAATTTGGGTTATCTTTTTTTTACTAAAAAGATAGATGAATACATTTTGGCCAAGATTTATGAAGAAAGATTTATTTGCAAAATTTTATAAGAAAAACACTTTTTTTTCAAAATGTTTGGATTTTTTAATTTATATAGCAAAAAATAAAAATCCCAGTGGTGAATAAATACCACCAAAATAATGTTTTATCTGTCTCAAAAAAATGCTAATAAGTTCATATGGGTACAGTGTTGCACAGCCGCGCAATTGTCATTCAAAGTGTGATAGCACTGAAAGCTGAAAATTGGCCTGGACAGGAAGGGGGTAAAAGTGTCCGGACTTGAAGTAGTTAATGACATGGTCACTTTAAAGCCGAATTCTAGGTAAGCAGTTAAATGCTCAGCTGACAACTCACCTGCCAAAGGATTTGTAATTCTATTCAGCCAATCTTGTGACTGAGATTTATAACTGAAGAAAAGTGTTCATATCCAACTAACATTCATTTAACCGGCAACAGAAATACTAAAAACTGGAATCTGTTTCAATAAAACAATGAAACCCTATCTTGTTACAAATCCTTTCCTGTATGTACTGAATCATCAGTGAAAAACGTATCAAGAGTAGTTTTCATTTAACTCATGGCTACATTTACCATAAGGCTCTTGTGGGCAAGTGCCTAGGGTGGAGGGTTGGAGAGGTAACACCAAGCCTCCAAATTTACAAATGATGACAACTGTTTCCTTATTGATTCTTCTCTTCTGCATATGAAGCAAACTGCATACTGCCTCCAATAAGGCAGTAGTCTTCATTTGTATTAAAATAATCACATGACACAAGGGACCAAACAGGAATTATCATTAAGGGGTGCTGGGGGCATCGTGACTTCTAAATGGATCCCTGTTTTCACTCATAAGAGACATTATGGGGTTGATTTACTAAAACTGGAGAGTGCAAAATATGGTGCAGCTGTGCATGGTAGCTAATCAGCTTCTAAATTGTTCAATTAAGCTTTGACAAAACAAATGGAAGCGGATTAGGTTTCTCTGCAGAG